TGTAGCAAGCATAAGTATAATGTGAGTGAGCTCGTGATATAGTTTATATATTTTGTACATTTGCAATGGCACTATTGTGGGGTGGCAAGTGTGGTCAGTTATCAGTGTGGGTTGCGGTGAGGTCTTCGGTTCAATCCTAGCTCTGGCTAATCATTAAGAAATGGTGGGGGTAATAAAATGAAGTCATGGGAAGGGTGTGTGGATGCGGGGGAATGGAATGATGATTTTAGCCTGCGAGATTTGGCATTATTTCCCCTTTTGGTCATGTATTGGCAGGATTGCAAGGTGACCGGCCAGATTGCTTGCACTTGCAATACTAGCAAGGTCCTGCAGCTGACCTTGTAATCTCAGTGACCCGATTGGATGTATTGTATGCATTGTAAGGTCTTGCAATGCATCACAATTCCCCGGTAATTTTGCAGATGGTGTGTTCGACCGTCCGAACACCCCCATACTCATGAGGCGCTCAGGGCGCTCATAAGGAGCAGCGATATCTTATCAGTTGTGCCGGCTATTATGAGTCCTTGTGACTGTTGTATGCGCGTCACAAGGCGGTGCTCGTTTCTTACAAGGCGCCAACGGACTTCTAAGGCTGCTTACAAGTGCTCATAAACTACTCTTAAGCCGTGGGACCTCTTAAGCCGCCCAGCACTTTTCCGACATCACATCGAGGGGCACGCTAAGTTTTGAGTGGTTTGATATGGGTTAATCGAGGCCGTGGAGGTGCCTATGACGGAGCTGGTGTTGACTTCAGACCTGAAATTAACCGTCCGAGAACTTGCACGGGTACGATGGTAGTAAATCTATCCGGCCCAGGCTCGAAGAATATTAGTTGCAATGATCTGACGGCAAAGAGATAAAGACACCGCACCTCCACGAGTTGCGACGTTGATGGTCATCCGCATACAAGTCAGTATAGGACATCTATCCCGCCGAGTCGAACGTCCCCTAGTAGGAAGTAGTTCGTCGAAGAAGACATATCAGCTTGTCTGAGTTTGAGAGAGAACCATTAGAACTCAACCCACTGTCACGGGTGCCGTCGCGCCTGAGCTGCGAAACAGGTAAACTGCGAGGTTAAGAGGTTAGACAGACAAATCGAGGCAAGTCAAGTACTTACGCGTGGTACATAGACTGTCGAGCAGCTGTCGGTCGAGTCGACTGTAGCCAAGCATGTAAGTAGTTTGCGTAAGAAGTAGGTTAGACGCCGAACAGGAGATCTTACCTTCGTACCGTCACCGTCGAGCCGACCTGCGAGTTCCCCCTGCGTCTCTCCTTCCCTCTGCGACTTGCGACCTCCTTAGCTTGACTCTAGCACCATTTGCGAGCTTGTCTACGACCCATCTAGCCAGCTCCGCCCTCTCGAGAACACCTACAAGCCGTCGAAGTTGTTGCCCGCGTCGCGTTGACAAGCGCTCGTCGACGTGATAGTGTGGACCTCCTCCCCTCCTCCCCTTTCCAGTCGATTCCTCCCGCGGACACTATAGAACTAGCAGGAGGTGCTATCTACGCGTGTAGACATGCCTATTGGACGCGTTGAGGCTACCGGACGCGATCGAAGACATCCCCAACCTCGAATAGGCGCCAGTCGGACGCGACACGTTGAACCTCGCGAGCCGCGACCCAGCCGTGTGGAGCTCCTGCGGACGCTCTTCGAGTGTCGAGACGGACGTCTAGCATGTCGTCGAACAGTACGCAGTATCCCTTTTTTCTTATACATACGATAGAGCCCCCTTTCGACCCCATCTCTCTCGTTATACCCCCATTCCTCCACAACAGGACCGACTAGCCCTCTCGCACATTTAGACAGTGGTTCTATCATGATAAGTATACTCATATCTATTTGTTAAACACCGCGACCGTTACACCCATGCAGCCCATGGTGCCTTTAATGGTGGTCGGAGAACAAGCCTTGAGCGCTTGTTGAGTAATCAACTTGAACTCGAACCGCGACGACGTTTTCCTCATCATCGTCTACTCCCTCTCGCGCTCGGATCATCTCATCATCTTCGTTCTGTTTATGCTGAACTTCTATGCTGAATCTCACTTGACGACTCTTGTGGCTTGACAGCATAGCACTGGGAGCCTCGCCCGACGGCAGACCTCGGTGCTGACTTCGCGCCAGCTCAGGACCCGGGCAACTCCACCAAAGGTCTGTCCACCGACGACCCCCCGTCCCGACCCCAAATATGCAAACTTTCGGGCCCGGGATATGCAAAAGTAGACAGGGCTTGTCACGTTTGTCTCACTATGTAACAGGCGCTTAGTACAGTGTAACAGTGTATGTTACACGAGGCTGCTCGACGGTCGTCTCCTTTCTCCACTTCGGTGCTATCACTACTTTTTGAGCTGGTCCTTCGCCGGGATTCTGATCGTCAACGTCTTCTGGACCTTGGGCTTCGTCAACACTCTCCAGCGCAAAGCCTCGAAGTCCTTCAATACCATTGCGCCAGGTTTTCCGGTGGCGGCATTGGGACCGAGGTGGTAGACGAGATCCTCGCCGCGCGCATGGGTGTGCAGATAAGCCGACTGAACCCGGCATGAAAAGGCAGTCTGGTCAGTCCCGTTTTCCTCCTTCTCTGAGTCTTCTGAGGCCGACTCCTCGTCACTGTGCTCTTGTGTGCCCGACTAGTAGAGGGATAGTCAGCACTCACATCCGAATCTTGTGCATGCAGGAAGAACATGGTGGACATACGATTTTGAGAGGCAAGTACACTCGGAGGGAGAGATATGAGAGGCCGGCAATTGTGGTAGCTTCGGTCAGGGACCCATGACGGCCACCCGTCTTCTTGTAGATGTCAAGAACCTCTCCAAGGTAAGTTCTTCTTTCATTCTTGATGATCACCCACGATCCAGGGCGAAGTGGAATAACTTTGCTGACATTCTTAGACGTGAAATTCGGCAAATCTGGTGTATATCAGTACAATTCACGCAACATCACTACTGGTACGTTGTGACACATACCGTCTTCAGACACAACGATACGGGCTGATCGTGCGGTCTCCTGCCAGCGGAGCTCGCGAGTCGTCATGTTGGTCTTGCCGCTCGACGTGAGGTCTTGGTATACCCGAACGTGGTGTGAGCCTTCGCGGACCGACATCCCTTTATCCAGCTTTAGCACCCGATGGATTGCGAACTTAGGGTCGATGGCGACAACCCGTTCCGAGTGCGTAGATGTTCTGCTTTGCAGTTGCTTCCGCAGATCAACAGCTCGCCAGCGCACTAGGACCACCCGTCCTACCACTCTCAAGCTCACTTCGGGAGAGCGCGGTTCGAGTCATACATATAAGGACTACATTGTTGGACAAAGTGAAGTAAGGATCGAGAAAGGTGAGTAACCAATCGTCGGCCGCGAGCCCACATCGTACACATTAAACGGACCATACCGTACATTCCCCCTAGCTCTATCCCTCCGCCCCCTCGCGAAATTGTGCCCTTTCAGCCCTGGTCTACGTCTGCCTCCTGAGCTGGTCCTTCATCGTCCTGTCAAAGTGCGCCATCCGCAGCGTGCCCTCGCTCACTCCACCCGCCTTGCGCGCGACCGCACCCGCCGCATCCGGCCCAAGCACCTGCATCAGCTTCAGCTGCGACTTCGCCGACCACCTTCCCCGCCGCTTCGCCGCCTGCCTGACCTTCTCCGGGCTCACGCCGTTCTTCAGGCTCGTCCGCTTCCCTTTGCCCTGGCTGCCCGACCGCTGCCGCCGACCCGACGACTTGGACGCGGACGAGTGCACAGAGCCTGGGGTGCCGCCCGCTCGGACGGAGCTGCGCCGGCTGTACGTGGACGTCCTGGGCGAGGCAGACATGGACGTGGAGAAGCTCGTCCGCCGCGGCGACGACTTGGACGGCGACGGCGTGCGCGGCGGCTCTGGCATGCCGCTGTGCTCGGGCGCGAGGAACGGCGTCCAGACTCCCGCGTTGGGGTGCGTCGGGCTCCGCGGCGGGCTCGCCATCTCTGCGTCCGCGCCTTCGCGGAAACCGTTCCACGTCGCCAACTCGTCCATCGGATCCCCACTGCCTGGCGCCGCGTGCTCGTCCCCGAACGGGTCCTGGGCTGCTGGCTGGAGTCCGTCCTCGCCGTGCTCGCGATCGTGCAGCGCGACGAAGGCCCCCTCCTCGGGCCCGTGCGGCGGGGCGGGGCGGGACGCCTTGCGTGCGCGGAGACGGCTCAGGTGAGCGGGTAGGTTCTGCAACTTGGCCTTGATCGTGCGCATGCGCCCCCTCTTCGCCTTCGCCTTCGCCTTCACCCCGTCCGTCCTGCCCAGCAGGCGTTCCTCCCCGCGCCCGCGAGCATCGTCCTCGCGCTCGTCCTCACCCCACGCGCTCGCTCCGAACACGAGGGCGCCGTCGAGCTCCTCGGCGTCCATGCCCCAGTGTCCCTGCTCCCCGTCGCTGTCCGCCTCGAACGGGTTGCGCGCGTCCTCGGGCCCCCGTCCCCCCTCAATCTCCGCGTCCGTCTCTTCCTCCGCGCCTGGCGCCAACGCCATTATGCCTGCTCGCCTGGTATCACGGCCCGCCCGGGTTCGGTCTCGGCCATGGCCTCGGACGAGTAGGTGGAGGTCGTCGGTGTGGGGCTGCTCGCCGGCGTCGATGTCGACCTGGGTGGCGCATGTGGCCTTTGTCGTGAGCATCGTGTTGCGTGTGTTCTTAGGGATGACGCGGAGGAGGAGGGGAGAGCAAGAGGAGGAGGGAGGTATGGTACCGAACGGTCAAGAGGAGTGGCGAGAGAATGTAGGTGGCGCCGGCGCCGGGGCGTTGGGGACAAGGATGAGATGGAGGTGAGGTTGGCGGAACGGGCTCTGGGCTCGCGTTAACATAGCTCCTCGCACAACAAAGGATGGAGGAGCGGCAACGTTGGGTGGCAAATGAGTCGCTAACCTTTTAGACATGGCCTTTGTTCACTACACCGGTGGCATACATAGGCGAATGTTCGCGAAAAGAGGACGCGAAAAGATTGATGCACAACGTCGGTCAGCTGGCGGTCGCAAGCAAAAACTATTGAATGCCACATACCCGGGTTGAACGAGTGACCTCCCCATAACCTTGCTAGTACAAGTGGGGCGCGCTACCACTACGCCAATGCGGCAGTGCTCAATCTCCCTTTGGAGCCGATATATCAACGCGTTTTGATTGTCTGCCTTGGCCACTTCCTCACATCTGCATCAGGTTAGGCGGAATCGGGACAACAAGTAAGTGTACTGTGACTGAGTACGCCGAGAATCCTATTGACACCCCTCACTCTAGCTACATCACTCACAAAGATACCTTGCAGCTTCGAAACCAGTGAGCCAAGTCGCTCGTCCGAGTTAGTCGCCTGGCGCGCTCACGCTCACGCTCTCGACCTCCCCAGAACCGGACGCCAATTGAGATTGATCACCTGGCCCTCCCTTCGGGGCGTCTCGACATCAGAATCGCCAGAACCCCCAATACCATGTTCCCCATTTGCGTCCGCCCTGCTGCGTGCCGAGCGCATCGTTCTCAGGCTGGGGTATTCTAGTCCTGCTCTGGAGGGGCCCATCTGTCCGCGTCGCACCACCTGAATAACGAATATCGTATATCGGATTTCGTCTGCACCTGTGGGGAGGGAGACGTCAACGTAAGTGCAGTAGACGGGCGCAATGCCCGATGCTGGGGAGCCTACCGTGCCGCACCCATACATAACCTGCCCGTTTGCGCTCGGACGGACGGAACGCACTTCACTCGAGCCTCACACCTCGCGATCGCACCTCGTCCAAGTCTCTGTTGCCGCAATCGCAAGCCAAGGTCGAGCATACACATACCCGCGTCGACAGCCCTGAGCATATACCTATACCTGCCTGCGCCGCGCGTCGAATACCCATCTCCGAGCTCGCCGCCGCCGAACGTCAGTCAACAACCAACACAATCACAATGATGTCTCCGCTCGTCCGTGCCGCCCCGACTACGTTGCGCGTTGCGCTCCGGCGCACGCCCGCGGGCACAGTGCGCACGCTCTACACGAACAAGCCGCACGTTGCGTACGAGGTGAGTCTCGATGTCGTCCGACGAGGACTCGGAGCACACGGCTCATCCCATGATACCTCTCATCCTTCCGCCGCGTCCTCGCACCCGCCCCCGCCCCCGCAGAACCTGCCGTTCTCGTACGCGGACAAGCGCAAGTTCGGGATCAAGCTCGTCGGCCTCTGCGGCACGTTCTTCCTCATCCCGTTCATGGCGGTCGGCTACCAGCTGTGAGTGTCTCTCTCGCGCTCGCACCTCGGTCTGGGCTCTCAGCTCTAGCACGGATTGGTTGTGGTTGTGTGGCCGCGGCGCTGATGCAGGGTCCCCTCGCCGTCAACAGCCGCAAGTCCGCTGGTGGCTCGAATTGAGCACGTTGTGCAGGAGTACTGCGAGTGCACGTTGAGGCAGCGGCCGAGGGTGTAGTAGCGGGAGCTGCCATGGAGGATGGAGGGGGAGATCAGTGGGGACCGTGCCGTGCGTCCCGGGGCGCACGGGAACACAGAGGTTGGTGGAAAGAGAGAGGTGGTGGTGGTGGTGAGATGGAGCTGAGCAGGTGGATTGATAATATCTATTCCGGAACTACGCCATTGTACCATAGGATCTCAACGCAATTCTCTGTAAATCTACCGTCTACACTCCAGCTACTCGTGGCCTGTCCAGCTCAGTCTACACTACTGCTACAGTGAGTTTAGCATGCACTACTACTAGTACCCGCTATTGTCCTTATGACCAGTTGCTCTGTTACTGTATGTCAAGGGAGGTGGTCTAGAGTCTGGACCCCAGTGGCGGGCGTCGAGTAGCCGCGTGTTGCAAGAGGCGCTCGATGTCGGCCGTTGCCGGTTGCCAGTTTCGGCCGGCCGTCGTCATCGACCCTCCCTCGTCCACGACGGTGAGGACGACGTCCTCGCCCATCAGTCGGCGTCGCCCATCGTGCTCAGGCCTGCTCAGGCTCATTATTATCCACACACCGCCGTGCCAGTCGGAACTCTTCTGTATGCGTGCCCTTGGACCCTGTCTGGCTCGACCTCAGCCGCCTCGTTCCTCTCGTGCCCCTCGTCGTCGCTCACCGTCATGGGCATAACATCTTTGGTCTGTCCATCTACTGCGCTGGCGCCCGTCTTACGTTGCAAGCCGTAGTCCTAGCGCTAAGATATGTGCGCGGAAGGTGAAGATTGAACCATTGGTCGAGAGATAACCCAGGTGTGTGCACAACCCCACAAATTCGTACGGTCTTATGACAGACATTCCAGCTAATCAACCAACGAACGGAGGGGTGAGTCTTGAATTGTATAGTGAGAGATTCAGGATCAGGTACGTCTGTATATCTCTTCCGATACCTTGCGCGTATACCAATGCCGAACTGTTATCATTCCACCATCGTTTTCACACTCTGCCGGTTGCGACGAGCGGATTCGAGCCAAGTGAAGTTGAACGCTGTGCGCCCGTCCGCCATGGACTTCACAACAAGGGAATAGCACAGGACCTTTGACCGCATGCTGACAACCCGCATCTCCGGGTCACTACGTCGGTTGGTGTGTATACATATCGCGTCTCTCCATCTCATCCGTTCTGCAACGATTTCGACCAACCTCCGCCCTGTGGGATGATCTCCGTTCGTTGTTTACTCGCTCGCAGCTCGCATGCATGTCGTTTCCCATTGCCAGGGCGGGTCGGCAACCTTACACCCTGAACGGGCGCGCAGGCTGATGGTACAGTTGAGGTGCGTTCATGGGTTGACGAGTTAGGTTCGTCTGTCTTATTATGTCTGTCTTGTGTTGACATTGCCTCTGATAGGTTCTATGAGATGGAGTACTAGTGGTACGGCGTTAACACCAAGATGTAGCGGAAACTTGTGAGCTTTCCCATAGTCGGACGCATCTGCATTCCGATATGAGGTCGATGAACGCTATCGATGCATCCATGCGAGATCCTCCCAAGTCGCACATGTCATGGTCGCCACTCACATGTACGGTAGCTGCGATGACGAATATTGCTGAGTACTGTTTGACAAACGTCCGTACATCGCGAAACCGACAGGCACGCTGTGGAGCGGTTGACGAGCCCAAGTACGTATTTAGGCTAGCTATTCGCGGTGTTGGTCCTCACTAATATTGTCATTTCTAGACCGTGTGTGAGATGCAGTGAGCGGTTACTGTTGTGCCCGTTGAGATGGGACGGAGACTGGTGTGCCAACCTCTTGGCGCATCCCGATGAGGTCAGTCGACTCCATCAATATATTGCATCCCTGCGAACTCTCGTATGTCATGGTGGCCACTCGCGTGTGCAATGGCTGCGATGACGAATAGGACTCAGCACTATCTGACACGGGCTCAACAGCCTCACCCGCTACCGATGTGTTCTCCAAGAACGTTCGCGCTTCTCGGTAGCTTGCCCGATGCTTCGCGTCGAGAATAGATGGCCGTGATCTCGCCAATGCGGTCATATACTCACAGGATAGGATCACGCCTATCGACTCCACTCAACACTCGCGCGGTCGTGTGCGTCTCATTTCTTGACGTTGGCTCATATGTTCTCGTTCTACCTGTGACTGCTGACACGGACTGAATGTCTATATAGGAACACGTCAGGTCGTCTGCCTGGGATCGCAATCACCTGGTTCGACATCTGAATATGACACAGACTCCGCGGCCCATGTCCGTACGGGGTTATCTCCAATAGGGATACGCCGAGCTAGGTCGCCATGAGGAACAGACGGACCTATCTTTGTGGACGGAATGCATTGGGCCGCACTCATCCGCGAAGCTCAGCGTCAGAGGCCCTGAAAGGTGTGAACTTCTGCGCTTCTTGGAGCCGGAGCCCCATCCGAACTCTAATTGTGCGTGTTGGAACCCAATCACGCGCCGCGCAGCCTTCCTATCAAGACAAGTGCTGCATACCGCCCCTTCCTCGTGCACAAGATCACGACAAGGCAACATATGGTCGACCTCCTCAGCTGCTCACGCCCTCCGGTCTTTCGTCGACCCTCCGACCGAAAAATTCTGGGGCCCGCTTGGACGCATGCTGCACTGTGGCACCTCCGCCCGGCGACGATGTTACGCATGCCAAAGCAGTTTATCCCTCCTCCGGCGTTCTACAGCCCGGACATACGCTGCAACATAGCGCTCTGGGCCCCACTCCTGCCAGGGCACGTGCGAGGATCGCAGCCCCACTTTCCATCCAGTCCGTTCCTATTACCTACCCTCACCGGCTCCGTCGATTGTTATCAAACCTCCACTGCTGCGGGCGGTCGCCACGACGACAGATCTGCCTTGCGCACACGAGCCACGACTCTTGCACGTCTCGACGGCGAGTCGGGCTTGGATCAAGGCGAGCCGCCTGCCAGCACTTCACATGTGCTCTCAGATGACGAGCTGTCCTGCCCGTGCGTTCTCCGTTTGTGCTGGTTCGCGACATGTGCTTGCGCAAACCAGGGTGCATCCGTCCGTGCACGCGTGCCAACATTCCTTTCCCGTCAGCCGTCAGCCGTCTTCTAGACGGGCGCGGGACATGTACAGGTGGATCCTCGCCCCGATGGATCGCGTTCAACTTCGCACTCGGTCGCTTTCTCTATCCCCTCGCCCGGTGGGGCAGCACGCGCCCTCGGATCCTCACCCCGGCCGCCCGGTGGGGTCTGATCCACCCCCGGAGTGCGATCTACGGTGGCCATTGGCCGGTCCCATGGCCCTGCCCTGCGTATGGAGTCGCGCCGCGAGTGCGAGAGCCGCTTCGCCCGTTGTGGCTCCGTATCGCCATCTGCTGTGCTCGTCTGCGGGCCCGCTCTCTCAGCCCTCTCTGGCGCCTGTGCGGAGGAGGATGTCGTACGCAGTGGCACCGGCCCCCAATGCGGACACGCATGTATTACGGCGCCGTCTAGTTGTCTTCATATGTCTTTTTTTGCCCTGTCCATGGCGACCGCGCTGGCGGCATGCATATATATACGGCACCTGCGTCGTCTGGCCCTCGCTGTGAGCTGCATCCCTCCCGCTCGTCTCCACACAGGTACTAGCCCGAGGCCTCCCAGCTTCCACCACCTCCCCTACTCTACTCCACGCGTGCCGCTCGACCGTCTTCGATCAGCAATGTTCGCCTCCCGCGCGGTTCTTGTCC